GCAGCGGTGAGATACCAGGGAAAGAGAGCGAGTTTCAAAAGGACAAAGGTTTTATTGGGGCCTGGGGGCAGTTGGTGAGGTAATGGCTATGGCCTCAGCCGATTGGCTGGGGAAGGGTCCTGGGGAAGGGTCCGAGTCCTGTTAGGCAGATGAGGGGGGATTACTCAAGGGGAGGAGGTGTGGTCAAGGTGAAGGACACAGAACAAGATGGAGTCGGCTGGCGTAGGCCCGCCCTTTCAATCCAAGTCAGATAGCTGGAAATTCTCACAGCAAGGGTCCATATTCACTCATCTTTCAATTGCTCTAATGCAATTTATAAAGCAATAGCTTCTATTTTTCAGTATTACAAACAAAAAGCATAGACTTTTTTTTAAGAAGTTGTTTTAAACTGCAGATAAGCCAAAAAATATAATCACCTATAATCCCCACTCCAAGAGACAACAACCGTCAACATCTGGTATTTATCCCTTCTGGTATTTTATCAAAGCATACAGTATATAATATACCATCTGCCCTTTAAAAAAATTGAATTACATCACATATAATATTTGTATCTTTAAAATATAGTAGGGGTGCCTGGGTGGCTCAGTTGATTAAGTGTCCGACTTCAGCTCACGTCATGATCTTGCATGAAATCTTTGTGTGTTCGAACCTCATGCTGGGCTCTGTGCTGACAGCTCAGAGCCTGGAGCCTGCTTTGGATTCTGTGTCTTCCTCTCTCTCCCCCTTCCCTGCTCATGCTCTGTCTCTCCCTCTCTCAAAAATAAATAAACATTTAAAAATCAAATTAAAATATAGTAGGAATGTTTTCTATAGAATGAAATATTCATCAGAAGCATCATTTTTGGCCTTATATTCCAATATAATAAACTTACATTACCTAATTGAGAATATTTAGGCTTTTTGTAGTTTTTATAGAACTCTAAGCAATATTATGATAGACATCCTTATAATTAAAGCTTCACAAATGTAAATAGTTATTTCCTTAGAGCAAATCCCTAGATATGGAAATGCTGCATCAAAGGACTGCAAAATGATGTCTTCTGAAGCAAATTTTCTGACTTCCAACAACCAAGACCATGTCCTGCTCCTTCCTAAAAATTTGGTACTGCAATTAACTAGGCCAGTTTTTATCCCACTGTGTGCCATGAGTCAAGCAATATCTACATCAGGAGGTTAAATTACTCTTTATAGGACATTTCATATGTGATAAAATGACTCAGAATTAGAGAGGCAAAACAACCCAGCTCCACATTCCATTTGTCAATAATTCTATTCTGCCCTCTTTTCATATTATAAATTTTGATTCTCCAGGGCTTGGCTTTTTTCTTAGTGCTAATGCAATTCTAGTGCTGAGCCTTGAGAATGTAGGCCCTTCTAGCAGTGGGTGAGAGACATCCCATCCCAAAAAGAAAAGAGGAAAGCATCTTTGTTATCTCCATGCCTCTGGGAAAACAGATTATTTGGCATAATAAAGCTATTCTTACAGATGTAACTGGACTGCACAAACTTTTTTTTTTTATTTATTTATTTTGAGAGAGACAGAGTCAGTGTGAGTGGGGGAGGGGCGGGGGGGTGGGAATCCCAAGCAGGCTCTTTGCTGTCAGCTGTGGAGCCCTATGTGGGGCTCAAACCCATGAACTGTGATATGATGACCTGAGCTGAAACCAAGAGTCAGAAGCTTAACCAACTGAGCCACCCAGGTGCCCTGAAAGTAAACTTTTATATCAAAAGTACATAATTCTAATTGGTTGTCTTAATGTTTTGCCATGATTATAATAGCATTTCAATTTTCTGGAAAGTTTTAATATATTGAGTTTTATTAAGACAAAAGAGGTTCATTGTCATGTCCTTATTTGCCCACAGACATTATGAATAAGCAACACTTAGTAGCTCATATCTTACAAGAAGAATTCGAGATGCCATTTCATAGTTCTTATGGAAGCAGGGAAGAATCAAAATGTGCTTCCACAAGGCTGCTTTTAGGCAATAGGCTTGAGCAATGGAAAACCGAGGAAGGTAAAAGGACCCACAAGCGACCACCAGGGTGAATGCAAACAGGCTTATTAAGTGATTCACTTCAGTATAGCCATAGGCCCCAGTTGACAAATGGGCTACTTACAACAGGGCATAGTTACCAAAAAAGGAAAATTCCATATGTTCCCATACTTCCTCACTCCCTCCCATAACTATAGAAACCCCCTCTTCCGCCCCCCCCCCCCCCCAACACTGCCTCCTGGCAGACTTTCCCTTGCTGTCCTGCCCACTACTCCCTTACAATGTATTCAATACATTGCTATCTCCTTTGTTCTGCCTTGGGCAAATTCTTTCACTGCCTGCATGGCCGCCTCCACCTGTTGGGGTCACACCACAGTCTCCTGGTAAAAGGTATTTCATAAGATAATGCCAAAAGATGTTTTGTTAGATATATTTTAAATAAGAAATGATTTGGGAAATTGTGACTATTGTTCTGATAGTCACAAAATTATGCTGCCATACTCCTCAAGCTGAAAGAAATTAAATAGAACAAATCAAACAGAACCATTGAATTATTGACACCAGCAGGCCAGACCCAGATGGGGTCCTGCAGGAAGAGGGTCCTTGACTTTGTGAAGGATGGAAATCAAATGCAAACCAGCAGGAAGTGAGAGCAGAGTTTATTGAACATACAGAGAGAACAGATACAGATGAAGCATCCGGGAGACATGGAAAGGAGCATGTGTCTGATCTTTGTTCAGGGTCTGGGGGTTTTTATTAAGGATTGTGATCCAGTGAATTTGTCCTTTCAGGCATCCAAGAACAAGTTAGAACATAGTCAAGGGCCCAAGTGTTATTCCTTGGAGGCAGGGGGCCATGGTGCTGAGCCCTCTAGTATCTGTGGTCTGGAATATGCATATGACAGCTTCCTCTGATCATTCTCACCTGGTCCTTCCTTAGATGTTATCTATTCCAGAGAAATCATTAACTCCTGTCCCTTACAAGGAGGACATATGCTATTTGCATTACAAGGCATGTGTAAAGTGGGGGTGCAGGTCCTAGTAAGGAATAGAAGCAGGAAAAGGAGCAAAATGTAGGTTTTTATGGAGTCTTAAAACCATATGACTTGGAATGACTTGACAGGTAAGTATTCTGTCAAAATTTATAGAAAGTAGCCAAAGTTGTACTTAAAGGGATATTTACAGCTTTAAATGTAAATATTAGAAAAGCTGAAAATAAATGATTTAAGCTTCTATCTTAAAAAGAACAGCACCTCGGGTGCCTGGGTGGCTTAGTTGGTTAAGCATCTGACTCATGATTTCGGCTCAGGTCATGATCTCACAGTTCATGAGTTCAAGCCCTGAATCAGGCTCTGTGCTGATGGCATAGAGCCTGCTTCGGATTCTCTCTCTCCCTCTCTCTCTGCCCCTCCCCTGCTTGCTCTCTATCTCTCTCTCAAAATAAATAAAAATAAACTTTAAAAAAAAAGAACAGAAAATAATAAAAAGGAAGAAAAAAGATAAAGGCAGAAATCAATAAAATAGAGAGCAGACATGCAACAGAAGAAATCAATAAGATCAACAAATCAAAATTTTTTAAAAATAATAACAATAAAGTATAAACATTAGCAAGATTGGGCAGGAAAAAAAGAAAGAAAACACAAATGACCAGTATGAAATGAAAAGGGAGATGTTAATGTAGATTCCACAAATATTAAAAAAAGATAAGATACTATGAATAACTTTATGCAAATAAATTTGAAAAGTCAGATGAAATGGAAAATTTCCCCCCAAAACACAACTAACCAAAAGATAACTAACCAACTTATATAAAAAAAATTAAATTCTAAATAGCCTTATATCTGTTAAAAAATTGAATCTGTAATTAACCCATTTTAATGCTTCTAGTAATAGTGTTCCAGATCAGTGACTTTAAAACTGTTTTGACCAGGGGTGCCTAAATGGCTCAGTCAGTTAAGTGTCCAACTTCAGCTCAGGTCACGATCTCCAGTTTGTGAGTTTGAGCCCCGTGTTGGGCTCTGTGCTGGCTGCTCAGAGCCTGGAGCCTGCTTCAGATTCTGTGTCTCCCTCTCTCTGTCCCTCCCCTGCTTGCACTCTTTCTCTGTCTCTCAAAAATAAAATAAACATTTTTTTAAACCATTTTGACCAAAACAATAGGAAATAAATTTTATATTGTGACCCACTGGACATAGATGTATGAGTATAGGTGTGTATGAAATAAAAGTTTTATGGAACAATTCTTACTGTTGTTGAAAATTTCCTATGCCCTTCAAGGCCCTTCTACCGGGTCTAAGATCAAGTTGACTAGACACAGATTAATAGGAAAAAGTCAAATTTAATAGCACACACACAGGGAATCCACACAGACATGGAAATTCCAAAGATAATGAGGCAACATGACACTTACATGAGCTAAGGAGACGGGTAGGACTCTGAGGGTACAAAAGGGACAAAGAACATTAGCAGGAAGGTATAAGGAGATGTTTGGAAAACATAGGTACCCTATTATGCAGAAAAATTTCTTGGGTAAAGAAGAATCTCTATTAATAGCTCTCTTCCTTGTACTAGCAGACAGTTAATGGAGAGATAAAGAGCCTTTTCCTGAATCTGCTGGGTTTTGATTGTTTTAACTCAAAATAATGTCCATGCCAAAATGGCCTAATCCTAATACGAGGGAACCACTCTGTTAACTTCATTTCTCTTCATTTTTCAAATGATGGTTGTGAAGCACTAAATTGATTCTTGTGACCCACTAAAAGGTTGCTGTGTGCAGTATGAAGAACGTTGCTTACATATAGTATTCATTATATAAACGTTTGCTATATATATTACTATTATTATTCATCTATGGCTCTCCAGCACTTGCATAATACTTGGCATGTAGTAAGCATTTGATAAATGTCTGTAGAATTAATCTCGTTATCAATGGCCTTTAAGAGTGGTCTCAATAGAAAGTTGTGAGTAGTATCCCCTCTTAAAACATTCTTTTCTTTAACTTCTACTAGGAACTAGGGTATCACCTACATCCATGTCTGTCTCTTATAATCAATAGCAAAAGAAATTTGCCAGCCACCAGAATGAAGAGAAGGCTGTCACGTAGTTGTCATTGGCTACACATGTATAAACTCACTCATTCAGGCAAGGCATCCGTTCACTCCACTGTCATCTCAGTTAAGCAAATTACTTTGGTGGCCCCAAATGTGGCTGAATTTTAACTTGAATTTGGATTACCAACTTTCATAAACAAAGAAAAGGCATACCACCATGATGCAGTATTGAAACTGGGCCTTTGGTATACAAAGCAATTCAAGGCAGAGGAAGTTATCAAACCTCTCAAATCACAGAGTTTCCAAAGGTAGGTAAGGTTTTTGCAACCAGTGCATATATTGCAATAGTCTATTCCAGTGCATTGAACTACTGTCTGTCAAAAACCTCTGGCCAACATTGAAGAAGAGCTTTTGAACAACCAGTCACAAGTGATTCAATTAAGGCAAGGGAAAACAAAACAGATTTTGACCAAATGGAAAATACAAATAAAACACTAGTATTCTTCGGTGTGTTTCAAATCACTCAATCCTAAGACTTTTCAAGTAATCAAGATCAAGAGCATAGGTTAATAATGGCAGCCTATTTGCCAGAGACTCTTGAGACTCTGGAAACAAAGAGGGGTTAGGCCAAAACTTTGAATGTGGTGCTGAAAAAGAAAGCATGTGTAATCAATCATATGGATGCATGATTACTATTTTCACTTTGTAAAAAGAGTTTTAGTACAATTAATGTAGCATTTCTCTGTCCTGTCCACAAAAGTAAATATAAATTAACATAGTGTAACTAGGGCACAGGGATACAACAGCATCTGGCTCCCAAACAGACCAGGTTCGGCCCACTCATTCCTGCTGACAAAATCCAAAGCCAGAGATATGAGTGGCAGTGAAACAAGAAAGGAACTTATTTCAGTAACACTAACAACACTGGGAAGACATCAGACTAACATCTCAAAGACCATCTCCAAAGTGCTGAAAATATTTCTAGGTTTACATAAGGGAAATGTGGGACAAAGGTCGGTAGTTCATGCAGCTTGGCAGTAAAGGTCAGGCCTAATATGTGGGGTCTTGCTGGCATCAGGGGGGTCTCTATTGCTCGAGGGAATAGTGTCAGTTCCCATCACAGGATGCTGTACCCACACAGTCTTTGGCCTGAGTTAAGAGATAAGCTGGAAAGAACTTAATCAATTAGAAGGTACAGACTGAAGTCAAAATGGAGGGGGTTGAAGTCCTCTCTCAATAGCATTTTTCAGTCAGTGGCACCTAAGCACTAAGGCTATCCAGTAATTCAGGGCCTTAATTAGACAAGTATTCCCAAACTTGGCTGCTCACTGGAATCATCTGAGGAGATTTTAAATATTAGGGTCTGGGCTTTACCTAGTGAATGAGAATCTCTAGGGGACAGAGCCACTGATGTGAATTATCTTTACACTGATCCCTGATGATTAGCCAGGTTTGAGAGTCAACAGTAGCTGGGAACCAAATAGTGCTCTCGTGGTTTGAAGAATCAATGCACCTCCCTAACTTATTACTAGCGGAAGATTTGGATGGTAAATAAAATAGAGCATATGCATGGTGAATTTCCAACCTTCCACCTGATGTAAGAGCTTTTCTGATAACGATCCTAAAACAATATTTAGTATAAGACATCAGGAGTTTATTAATTCTCGATACTTACAGTCAATTCATGCTTTTTATTAACACATCTTGTCTGACCAAGATACATTTTTCCCATGCTTTATGAACTCAATACCAGAAGTGCAGGCCAATTTTTGAAAGTGCCACTCTAGCACTATGTTGCATTCTGAGTAGCATTGTATGAAAAAAGATAATAGTAACTTTAATTGGCAGTTTCCTTATCATAAGAGATGTAAAAGTAGGTCCCATCTTGCCATGACTGGAAAGAAAATAATAATTGTGTTTTCAACCAACTGGATGGGTAATTACCTAACCGTATGTCACATAGACAAAAAAATTTGTCTTTTTGTTTCTCCTTATGTCTCCATATTATTTTCTTCTTAGATGAATGCTTCTGACATTTTTCCTTCCACACTTTGCTATTTTCATTACAGGACTTAAACCCAGATATAAATGTACATCCCCCACAACAACTCTTTATAGATTCAGATCTAGCTTCCATAGAATAATTGACTATTAAAGCTGGAAGGGAACACAGCAGTTATTCAAAATAACATATTGGTTTCATATTAGAAAACTGGGGCTCAGAAGTTGATTTACCAGACTCTACATGAAAGCCAGATTGGAAATCACATCTCCTAACTATTAGCTGAGCATTTTTCCATCTACTATTCTGTTCAACAGATACATACAATGAGGTGAACTGCAATATAAGTGAGGGTATTTTTCTAAATCACTACACATTCACATTTTTAATTAACCTTTTTATTGAGATATAATTCACATGCCCTAAAACTCATCCACTTAAAGTTCAATGGCTTTTAGTATGTTCACAGAGTTGTAAAGCAATCACCACAATCTAATTCTAGAATATTTTCATCGCCCCCAAAAAGAAACCCTGTATCTAATAGTCACTCCCAATTCCTGACCTTCACTCCAGCCCCAGGCAACCACTATTCCACTTTCTGTCACTACAGATTTGCCTATTTCGGACATTTCATTTAAATGGAGTCATACAACATGTTGTCCTTTGTTTCTGGCTTCTTTCAATTTAACATGTTTTCAAGGTTCATCCATGTCATTCCTTCTTTTTTTTTTTTTTTTCCCAAGTCATATTCCACTGTATGGATATACCACATTTTGTTAATTCATTCATCATTTGATGGAGATGTTTCCACTCTTAGGCTATTATAAATAGTGATGTGAACATTTATGTACAAGTTTTTCTGTAGGCTTGTTTTAATTTCTCTTGGGTACACACTCAGAAGTGAAATTGCTGGGTTATATGGGAACCCTATGTTTAACATTTGAGGAACCGCCAACTGGTTTCTGATGCAACAGCACCATTTTATATTCTTACCAGTAACGTATGAGTGTTGCATTTCTCCACAACTCATCAGCACTTGTTATTGTCTTTTCTGATTGTAGTCATTCCAGTTGGTGTTAAGTGGTATCTCCTTGTGATTTTGATTTTAAGTTCCCTACTGATTAGTGATGTTGAGCATCTTTTCATGCACTTATTGGTCATTTGCATATCTTCTTTGGAGAAATGTCTATTCAGATCCTTTGTGCATTTTTATTGAGTTTTTTTGTCTTTTTATTATGGAATTGTAGGAGTTCTGTACATATTCTAGACACTAGTCTCTTAACAGGTATATATGACTTGCAACAATTTTCTCCCATTATATGGACTGTCTTTTCATGTTCTTGATAGTGTTCTTTAAAGCACAACATTTTTAAAATTTTAATTAAAAAAATTCTTTTTTTGACCTTGTGCTCTTGGTGTCATATCTAAGAAACTATTGTCTAATTCAAGGTTACAAAGATTTATGCATATTTTTCTGCTAGCTTTTTTTTTTTTTTTAAGTTTTAAAACAGTTATATCTATGGTCGATTTTGAGTTATATCTATGGTTGCAGTTATATCTATGGTCGATTTTGAGTGAAGTTTTGAATACGTTATGACAGAGGTGTTTAAATCCATTCTTCTTCATGTGGATATCCAGTCATCTGACACCATTTGTAGAAAATACAATTCTGTTTCCATTAACTGTCTTAGCAACCTTGTCATAAATCTATTGACCATAAATGTGAGGGTTTACTTCTGGACTCTCAATTCTACTCCATTGATCTATATGTCTATTCTTATGCTTGTACCACATTCTCTTGATTACTGTAGCTTTGTAGTAAGTTTTAAGATTGGAAAATGTCATTCCTCTAACTTTGATCTTATTTTTCAAGATTGTTTTGGCTACTCTGAGTTTCTTGAATATCCATGCAAACTTGAGGGTCACATTGGCAATTTTTGCAAAGAAGTCGTCTGAAATTTTGATGAGGACTGCAATGAATCTGCAGGTCATTTGGAGAGTACTACCATCTTAACAATATTAAATTTCCTAATACATGAACATGGGATGTCTCTGCACTTATTTAGGTGTTCTTTAATTCCTTTCAAAAATGTTTATAGTTTTCAGAGTATAAGTATTATACCTCTTTTGTTAAATATATCCCCAAGAATTGTATTCCTTTAGATGCTATTATAAACAGCATTGTTTTCTTAATTTCATTTTTGGATTGTTCATTGCTAGTCCATAAAAATAGAGTTGATTTTTGTAGGTTGGTCTCATATATTGTAACTTTGTTCAATTCATTTATTAGTTCTAATAGTTTAGTGGAGTCCTTGGGATTTTCTGTATGCAAGATCATGTCATCTAAAATAGAAATAGTTTTATTTATCCCTTTCCAGTATGGATACT